TCATGCACTTAAAAATCCTGTTTTAAGTCCATTATAAGCATAAAACTTTTTAATAAAGGGCTAAATGAGTTTAACAGGAGGATGTTCCTTTCGGCGCAAGATTCACATATAACGTTTTAACTTAATTCTGGCAATTATCATCAGATGGTCCAGGATAAAATTTTGCATCTGGTACAAGATCTCTGGGGAGGCCTATGTAACTCAGCAACACCATGCCCCATGCTCCCTTTCTCTTACCTTTGCTTCTTTTGGCCAGTGATTTTCAGTTGGATCAGAAGCTGCCTCAGTGATCACCAGTGCTTCATACCTACTCTTCAACCCAGCCACTTGGGACATATAGCAATACCACAGGGGTGCCGTATCTCCATGAAATATTATCCCTTGGCTTAAAACCTGACACTTACCTCTCCTTTCCTCCCCCTTCCCTCCTCTGCTTGGCTGACTAGGACTTGTCTTTCAGGACTCTGATCACATATCACCAGCTCTGGAAGTTTTTCCTGCATCTTCCCAAGCTACCAATTTGATTAAGAATTGCCCTCTTCCACTTTCCCTCAGCATTTTAGAAATACATTTTCCACTGCACTCTGTGAAATGGTTGTTAAATCATGAATGAGTTCCTCTCAACCTCAGCCTCCTTCCAGATCACCCATTCCACTCCTCGACTTTAGAAACCTAGTCACCATCTCCTTTCACGGGTCTCTTGTGAGGAAGTTGATACACCACCCCACATACCTTGGAACCATGGTAAAGGGTGGCATTCTCCTGGTTCCTCACTGCCAATTCCAAGTGTTTTTTTCTTCCATGACCTCTACGAGACTATGACTATTGTGAGTTTCCTACCATCCCTGTGGCATCTCTGACCAGCCAGCCCCTCCAGCAATTGGATCCTGGCTGACCACTCTCCTCTTACCCCAAGCCCTGCCATTGTCCCAGGAGATGTAGCATAAATTCAGAAAACACACAGCAAAAACAGCTTCCACCCAGGTTATCTAATTCAGTTGTTCACTTCCTGGATCTTGCCATAACTTGGAGTTACAATTCTTCTAAAACCTCAAGCCTCAGTATCGCCCTCCAGGACCCTCTCTCCTCCATCTTTCACACCCCCTCACCTTACTGCCATTGCTCTTAGATTTCCTTGAGACTTCTACTTCATTGGCCTTCACTTTCACCCATCGCTCTGCTCCTTCTTGGCTTCTTTGTTCCCTAAAAGGCTGAACTCCCATGGTTGATAATATCAACTCACCTCCCCAACACCTTCATTCCTTGAATCCCTAACTAATTAGTCATTAGGAACCTATCGGGGAAAATATGAAGGGGTTCAGAGAAGGCGTCCCCAAGATGTGCTGCTTTGGCGTGCGGATTATTTTGATCTGATGGCAATAGAGCCCTTGTGGGCTCAAAAGAAACTTCGGCCCCCTCATGTACTACCTAGAAAATTTAAATTAGGGGCCTGGCCCATCATGAGTTATTATGAAAGATAACTTATGACCTATCTGTATGGTAGGGCAAACATCATGAGTTATTATGAGAGATAACTTGTTATAACCTATCTATATGGCAGAGCAAACATCTGACTACTGAATATCTGCTCTTCTTATCAAACTATTAATTGTCCTCCTCTCTAATTGCCACATTCCTTAGCTCAGGATGTCATATATATGCTATTTTACCTTTCTGTCTCTGAACCTCTCATATACATGGGATTCCCATCGTATGCCTATAATTAAATTTGGTTATTTTATCTTGTTAGTATGTCTCGTGGATTTGTTTATTAGACCAGCCAAAAGAACCTAGAAGAGTAGAATAAAATTTCTTCCTTCACTACATTGTATACCCTTGCAGATGGGTACCATTTCAAATTCCCTGTCCCTAGTCTGACATGGTTCCACAACACCAAAAATTGCCATCTATCCTTAAACCCATTATGCAGCCCCGCCTCCCACTTTGATGAGAAAATTAGGCCATCAGGAGTGGTGTCCAGTAGGTTCACAACACTTGCTCTTAAGTCCATCTAGAGCACCCATTCCTACCTCCTCTCTTCCAGACCCATGTCTCTGTCCTCTGATACAAGACTATGTCCCTACCAGTGCTTCTGACGCCACCCCTCTGGGATTCTCTGGGATCTTGCCCCATTAGCCCTCCCATTCTACTAGTATCTCCCAGTTTTCCTTCTCCCTCTGCTTACAACTGTTAAAAACATTGACTGCCTATTCTTTCTTATCACGCCCCAATGTCTCTTCTATCTTTGTCCAAACTCTTGAAGGAGGAGGTATCAACTATCTCTTTTCCTCACCTCCAGGCTGGCCCTCGCGGTCTTCAATCTGGCCAGAGTTTTTACTCTTGGTGGAATAATCAATGTATTTTGTTTTTATGTTTAATATGTTGGAGTTGAGAGCTCTGTATGTATAAAGAAGTATTTAAAGGCTATTTGGTTTTAAAGTTAATGTTCAATTTATTAAGGTCACAAAATCAAAAACAAGTCTTCCTTGAGTATTTAACTTCGACTAACAAATGTGGCTATTCTCTTTCTAAATTGGGTACCATGAGAAATAGCTTCACTTTTTCATTGATTATTGGATTGACTATTATTGGATTAATATTTCTATATTAAACAGAATAATTTCCCTCAGTCCTCTTTTGTAATTATATTCAATATTTTGAGCATTTTTCAAAATTTTAACACAATTTCTTTCATTTTTAAGTATTTCAAATTCCTGACAGGACAAATTTACAACACTGATAAGCAAAACATTTCCAAGAACTCAAATATTTTCTGAAAGAGAATTATTTATATACTTACAGATTATCTATGTTATTCAGAAATATAGCAAATTTTTCCCCCTACACTTTACTACTATCTGGCCAGCAAGGAATGCAAGGACTTCTGTGATAGCAGCTGCTTTTGTGCCCAGATATTTCCTAACTCTACTTATCCATCCCATCAGAAAAATGATTGCTTTTGCACCATGAATAGTTGCCAGAACTATTGAGCTATCTCTTAATTTCTAACCAGCTAATCATAAAGGCTCATATGGCATTCTTTAAGTTTGTCCAAAGTGAATATAAATCATTGATAATTCTACCTGAGATTATTAAGAAATCTGATTGTCTGGTAATTGTTGTAAAAAATAGTGTGGTCACCACAAATGAGTCAAGGCACTCAGCCAAGCTAATGGAACAGCCCCAGTGTGTGCCAACATAAAGGGCAGTGAACGATCATGATAGAAAACCAAATATTTATGTAAATCACTCTGTATATGTTTTATAAAAACTGTGGAGTCTTGCCATTTGAACTGTAAATCACCATATCTGAAGTAAAGTGATTCATTTATTGCTAATAACTGGGCATCTTGAACCAACAAAACCTTCTTTCCCTCAAAGCTGATGACACTGACAGACTCGGGAATACACTTGGCACCCCTTTCCTCTGATCATGACTCCTCCCTTTAAGTCCCTATCTCTGCACTGTCAACTTACTAGTCAGTGAGGACACTGAGGTTTTTAAACCTGCATTTACACCAGTTCTCTAAGGATTTCATGGCTGTCGGGCTTGCCTGACTGGGAATTTGAAGAGGCAACAATTTTTAAAATTTATTATTACTACTAATTTTCTTATTACCCTTTTAAGATGTTTTTTACAATGTTCTGCTATATCCAGAGTGGCTGCTTATTAATAGAACTTTTAGCTTTTCCCCTAAGCTTCCAATGCCAAACTCTAACCCACTGGCAAAGTAGTGGCCAAAATGTTCCTACCCATTGTATCTGTGATTCAGGAGTATCTGGTGTGTGGGTGTGTGTGTGTTGGAGGTGATCAGCCAATGGGAAATGATGAAGACAGGATGTTCCTAACCCTTGTGTCTGTGATACAGGGGTGTC